TGAGTTATTTCAGTACTTCAACATACAAAATGGAAATGAAATAATATATATATATATATATATATATTGAATGCATTTTTATATTTATGTACATGTATGTGTATATGTATATATGTGTGGCTGTACATACACATATGTAGTTGTTTTTTGGTGTTTGTTTAAAAAAAAAAAAAAAGGGACAAAGAAGGAATGTATATGACACCGATTCAAAAGATGTTTTTGTTATGCCTGGTTTATAATAGTGCAGCATGGGGAATGGATAGCACAAAAAGGTCATCTCAAGTTTAAAATGAAGTCAGAGTGTGACAGCAGTGGAAAAAGGAAGCTCATTCACGCTGGCTGGTGTTTTACGGCTTGCTTATGAGTCATCTTACTTTTATCTGTCCTCTTGCTTTTCTGAACGTGACTGGAATGATGGCTGTGAATGGATGACCACAGTTTTAGTCCCCATATGTTTCTCTCATTCTCCGGTTAAAGAGCACCTCCAGCACTGAGTGAGCATTTGAGGAAGAGTGTGCTTTATTTGCAGGCAAATGAATCACCTGTTCTGTTTCAGAGGAAGAGCTGTGGGAATGTCCACTGGTTAACAGCTAATCAAATGTTGTAGCAGAAAGCTCAGTTTGAAGCACAGACAAATTCCACATTGTTTTTATAATCGTTTCCACTCTTTCAACGGGAAATAGCAGTGAATTTCACAGAAGCTGTGTAAATGTTCTCAGCAGGAGTTGGTCTTCCAGTATACTAAGTTTCGTAAATGACGATATTGCCATTATTTTTGAACAAAGGCATTTGATATCCAGTATGCTTCTTCTCTGGGACACCACCCTAAAGCAGGGTAAACTTTTAAATTCATTGCGTGTGAAGTCATGCCCATGATTGTTATAGCACCACACAGTCTTAATTTCAAACTGGATGTCGTTCTATTGTTAGTTCAAATGACTGTTTTTTTACAAATGCTCTTAAACTTTTTCTAAATGATGTTCCAAGCGCTTTTCCCCCATCTTTTTTTATGTTTTTGCCCCTGACTAGCAAGAGGTCACCACTTGTGCGGCCCACATGCCTTCCTTCCTGTCTCAGCCCCTCTCTCTGATCACATGTAAAATGTTCCTGCGGCAGATTGCTGGTTGGTGCCGACTGGAGCTTAGAATGATCTCATGAGGTTTTGTTTTATTGTTTTATTACGTGTGCTATGAAGTTTTTGGGCAAGTAAGTCTGGAAAGACCGATACACAAAAGAGCTTGCGGTCTCAAGCAGGGAAAGACAAAGGGACCTTTAGGAAAGATAGAGAAGACGGAGGATAATAATCCTTGAGAATGAAGGTTCGTCACAGGAGGAATAGCAATTTGGATGATAACTCAGGGGCTGCCCAGAACAGACCACCTTTGCTAAACTTTGGGGAAAAAGACAATCTGAGGGATTACAAGAGTGGGCAGAGGGGCACAGAAGACTGTCTAAAGCTTTCATGGAATCACATTCCAGGACAAAACCATTGGCTGGCTGTTGTCATAGCAGCAGGATTACTGTTGGCAGGGGTTATTGGGTTGTTTCATGCATGGTGTGTTTATTCTATACACGAAAACCTGCTGTGGTTTTCACACTTAAAGGTAAGCCGAAGCACAATCTATCTCCATTTTTGTTGCAAGAATGTTGCTAAGAAACAATGTTAAATGAAGTGAATGTTCTTTTCAGCCAGTTCTTATTCTGTTATCTTCCAATATTCCTTTATAGTGTCCTCCGTTTGTATAGTTTTATATCTTAAAATTGCCTCTTTGTGTTTGAGTTTTTCAGGAAAATAAGCGTTAAAGCTGTTTTATGAAGAAAAATAAAAGTGTAATACGTCTTCTCAAACCACATTTCATATGACTCTAATCTTTGTGGAGCATATGGATCTTCTTGTCTGAAAACCACTTCCACTTTAAAACTCCACCATATTTACAACGCCTGTTTTTTTTTTGTTTCTTCCTCAAGGCTTTTATTGCGAATGAAATCTCTGTTTATTCTGGTCAGATAGCTGCTCTGATTTCTTTCACAGATGGAAAATGTATTTAATTTTAACACCATTTGCTCCTGTTGTGCTTCTTGTCATAGTTAATTTTTACTGAATCTTATCCTCTCTTGCATTTGTAGGAAGTCGAGCGTGAAATCTCCTTTCGGACAGAATGTGGCCTTTATTACTCCTACTACAAACAGATGTTGAAGGCGCCTTCTATACAGCAAGGTACTGAGCTCTATTCACAAGACAGGTTTACTGGTTATATGATCACTCTTGCATCATGCCATTTTTCTGATGGAACACTGATGTTAAAGACCTTGTTTTTTCTTTTTATATAGAAATATTGTCCCTATAAGGACAAGTATTATTTAATTGTAATCACCAGAAATTTTTAAATACGTACATGTTTGTTCCCATTTGTGTTCTTCCTGTTTAGCTCAGTCCATAATGGCAAGTTTCTCGAACCACACTGTCTGCTTTCTGTTATCACTTATGTAATCAGAGAGCTATCAAAGTAATGTTTCATTACGTAACCATATCAGTGTGACTAGTCTCAGAAAATAGAGGAAATGTACAACTTTGCTCTAAGTGGTCTTTGCTCAATCTAATTGGCCTAACAGCCCCATTTGGTATGGATTTTCTTTGTGCTTCTACACTGAAAAACTTCACAATTAGGTCATTACCCAATAAGACTGAAATGGTAAGAAACACAGCAGTGCCAAAAGCTGTTCTCTAGACACTACAATTGGGCCTTTGTACTTAAATTAGAGTAAAAGCATATTCAGAGCATTGCTTTTCTATTAAGCAATCATAGAAATTGATTACTGTAAACCGTCATAGCTGTAGTACTATCTACAATAGTATAAAGTAAGTTGAGGTTGTTTATTTTGAAATCCACTTCCATTATACCAATTAATGACAATTTTGGTCTGCATTACAATAATGGAACCCTTTCAAAACAAAGTATTTTGCCTGCATATGAGTTCTAGTTATTTTCTAAGCCATACTGCTATACAAAGGCAAAATATAGTAACTACACATTCTGTCAAAATACTAGTGTCTTAGACTATGATCTGTCTGTGACAGATGGGTTTGGCTCAACTATGTTTCAAAGAAAACTGATTGTGAAACTGATACTAAAAGCAGTCAAAATTCATCCAAATAAAATGTTCTCTATTTTAGTGTTATGTAGTTATTGTGTAAGGCAGCATAGTAACCAAAGAAAGAAAATTATTTTATATCTGAAGCACTACTGCTCAATAAGTGAACATTTATTATTGTAATTTTTTTTTTTTTTTTAGGATTTAGGTACTGTTATCTACACAAACAGAGATTTAATAAGATTAAATAAAAATCAGTGTACACTCCTGTTAAAAGTTTAGGGTCACTAAGATTTTTTTTATTTTTAGAATGCTTATACTTTTTATTATATAATACTATATATTTTTTAATACTTTTATTCAGCAGGGTCAAATTTAATTTACCAAAAATGACAATAAATATTTATAATATTATAATATGAAAATATTTGCATTTCTAATAATTGCTGTTCTTTTCTATTTTCTATTGATCTAAGAATCCTGAAAAGATGTATCACAGTTTACACAAAAATATTAAGCAGCACAACATTTTTTTTTACATTGATAATAAGAGGAAATGTTTCTAAAACACCAAATCAGCAAATTAGAATGATTTCTTAAGAATCATGTAACACTGAAGACTGGAGTAACGGCTACAGAAAATTCAGCTTTGACATCACAGAAAAAAAAAAATAATAATAACAATATGATTATTTTAAATTGCAATAATATTTCAAAATATTACTGATTTCATGGAGTTTTGATCAAATAAATGTCGACTTGGTGAGCATGTTTTTTTAAGTCTTACTTAGCAAACTTATAAAAGGGAGTGCACACTGATTTTTATGTAACCTTATTTTCTGATAACAGTACCTAAATCCTAAGGAAAAAATAATAAAATAATAAAAAAAGATTGCTCACTTATTAAGCAGTAGTGACAGTCCTATGCTTCAGATACTTTGTACTTGTGCTTCTTAGCCATGCTTTCCAGAGTACTTAGTGACCTCCTAAAGAATTAGACAACTTGCTACATTTTAGCTTTCATAGTTTTATGAAAGCTGCAGTACTACAAATGAACATGATTTATTAAATTAGCCAGTTTGGGTTCATACTAAGTGATAAGAGTCAAAGTCTATTTGTGCAAAGTTTAACCTTTTGTATACGTTTACCAGGTTGTGTGTGTTCTTGTGTTCACAGGTCTTTATGAGCTTATTCATGACAACACTACTGAATCAAAGAGAACAATAAACATCCTACAGCGCATGAATATCTACCAAGAAGTGTTCCTTAGCATTTTGTACAGAATACTTCACATACAGGTGTTCAATCACTTCTGTTTTCTTTGTAAGATGTATAGATTCTCTTGGGTTTTTGCAGAATCAGCTTATTTTTCCCCGTCCTATGTGTATGTGTGTCTGTTTGTTTTACAGACCTACTTGGAGCCAATTTATTTCTACATCTATACAGTGTTTGCTTTGCAGACAGTGTATGTCATCGCCCTCTTTATCACTAGCTGGTTACTTAGTGACTCATGGCTGGCTGGAGCCCTCAGTGGAGTCTGGTACATTCTCAACAGGTATGTGTGCACAATCAGTCTCTCATACACACAAAACTCACCTTTGCAGTCCATCTGGCATAAATACGTAAATGCTTATTATGATGCAGTGAGCATCTCATTTCAGGTAAGTGTGAAAGCTGATACGTTTCTCTAAAATATGAATTGAAGCTGTCAAGGACAGCACTGAAATGAAATTCGTCATTTAAGGCTCTTTTATTCAATACCACGGGCCACCTGATAGGCGGTGCCCCCTGGAGAAATCTCAATATTTAAGAAGCTCTCTTTGAACTGTTAAAACAATACAGATAGTCCCCTCACCAATCTATTAGTTGAGCTGATTGGGAAGCTCAATCAAGCAGCGCAATGCTTTGATTGCACCACAATGTTTAAGAAATCCACTTGTGAATGGCTTATAGTTGTTTCTGCATTGTAGAACATACTGTAGAGTCAAAAAAGTCACACAACTCATTTCACTTTTTTCTTATGTTTCTTTTCTCACAGCTTAGGCTTGTGTTTTCTGTGTTTGATTGCAGAGTGGATACCACACGCGTGGAGTTTACAATCTCTCTAAGGGAGAACTGGTCAATACCTTTCTTTGCTCTTCAGGTGGCTGCTATAACCTGCTACTTAAGGCCACAGCTAAAGCCTATTCACCAGGTAAGCTTCTATCCTGATCAAATTAATGTCTATTCCGTAACCATTTCAGATTTAGATTATTGATGAAAAGTCTGATTCTTTTCAGCAAACCAGTTCTTTGGACATTTCATGTTAGTGAACCAGTTCAAAAAATATTCATCTTTTCTTTTACATCATCACATGATTATCACTAATATGTAATGCTATCATCCCAGCGGGTGAAAATACATGCTTAAACACTGCATACATAATACTCAGTAGTAAAATTCTTTTTTCATTTTTATGTCTTGACTGAACAGTTTTTGCATGTTATAATAAGATGTTGCTGAATATAACTAGTTGTACTATGCATTTGTTTTTAAAGAAACTTACCTTTCACCCCCTCATTTAAGTCCTTGGTTCATGCAGGCTCATAGACATTAGTCAGGTTAGACACTAATTAAACACACTGAATTTTATGCAGATGAAAACCAGGCTGTGAGGGATAAACTTAATGGCACATGCTATTAAAGGGGTCCTATTATGCTCTTTTACAAAGTCTTGATTTTGTTTTGGGGGTGTACTAGTACATGCTCTCATATTAGGTTGTTCGAAAAACACATTATTTTTCACATATTTTACATTATTACAACACCTCTCTCCCCAGTCTGGCATGAACGGCTCGAATAGTTCCTCTATCAAATGAAGGCCCGCCTTCTGAAATACGAAATGTGCTGTGATTGGTTAGCTGGGCCAGTGTGTGTTGTGATTGGCAGCAAGACTAGCTAAAGTTGAAAAAGTGAAAAAGCATAATAGGACCCCTTTAAGGTCCTAAATCCCGTACTTTTCGTGACATCAGTATCATTAATCGTGTCCCATTGTGAGCTGAAATCGTTACATCCCTAGCTGCTACCCTGACTATCTATAGCAGGGGTGCCCAAACTCGGTCCTGGAGGGCCGGTGTCTAGTATCAGCAGCTCACTCATTAGTTATCTGCAATGCAGACATGTCCAAGTCCGAGACTGTTCTCAGTTCAACTGGTGCAATGGTGACTTGGGAAATGTTGCAACCACTAGCTGAATCCAACTCTCAATAACTGTTGTCTCAGTATCAGCATACTCTTGATTGGAGAACTACTGCCACCAGATGACGAGCTAGATCAAAAATGTGCCACCAGCATCACCAAACGGAAATGGAAAAACAAGTTTCTGAACACTCCCCCTGTCCTCAGTTATTTGGATAAGCCGACAACTCTGCCCAAAATTCAAACTTTTGTTTGAGACAGTGTTGCTGTGTCGATCTAGTTGGGATGTTCTAACAGTGAAATGTTGGCCCTGTCACAAATGTCTCAAACACTCTATGTGTACTTGCACTCTTGTGGACTTACAGTGGCCACCGTTTGCCCATGTCCTTTAATTCCACAAGACTGTAGGGTGTCCCATTTGTCTAAGGCGAGCTCCACTGCATACTTCTACCCAACAGTCAAATTGGCATTACGTCACCAAAGTGTGGGCTTTGAGGAAGACTGAGGGCTTAGGGTGCCATTGGGATAGGATCGTCATGATAGCACCACAGAGCCACAGTGTTTACAGTTTTCAGGGAAATTAATCTATAAATGGCTTACATTGTGTTATTTCCATATTAGAATAAGATAGGAGAAAGAATCAGAAAAATGACAAACTTCAGCTTTAAATAAATGTAATCCAGTCAAATAAGTCAGTCAGTTTTGTTTACTATTAGGCGAATTAATGAAAAATGGCAACAAACAAAATTACAAACTTCAGCTTTAAATAAATGTAATCCAGTCAAATAAGTCAGTCAGTTTTGTTTACTATTAGGCGAATTAATGAAAAATGGCAACAAACAAAATTACAAACTTCAGCTTTAAATAAATGTAATCCAGTCAAATAAGTCAGTCAGTTTTGTTTACTCATTAGGCAAATTAATGAAAAATGGCCAATAATGAAAAAAGAAAATATGACTGGAAGTACTGAGAAAATACGAGACAGTAAGTTGTGATAAATATTTCTGACTGCTTGCTGCTGTTCCGAAGTAGTTTTATGAAATATGAAATGGAGGTTTGCAATTACAAGTGTATGTGTGAAATATTTCTGATTCTAAAGCTGATTCCAAATCATCAGTTCTTATTCTGCTGGATCTATCTGCTGCTTTTGACACTGTCAATCATCGTCATCATTATAAAAAAAAAAATAAAAAAAAAACTTTCTTTATTTATTCCTTCTCTTTCTAGCTTGTACTTGAAAACTTGGTATTACAAGCACTTCCTGTATCTGTTTGCCTCTTTAAGAAGAATCGCTTTATGTATCCCCAAATTGTAAGTCGCTTTGGATAAAAGCATCTGCAAAATGACTAAATGTAAATGTAAATGTAAATATTTAATCTGCTGAGCACATATTTGTTCTCTCTCAGTATGTTCTCTCAGCACAAACTCTAATTGCTTTTCTGACATATGGTAGAGTGGGTATAGAAAAGAATCACCCCCTTTAAAATAATCACATTTTGTTGCTTTTCAGCCTGAAATGAAGACGGACACAGTTTTTGTTTTATCCTGCTGGATTTACCTAGTGCAACTTATAACATCCAAGTGAAAGATATAACACCACTATATCAGAAAAAAATAAAACAAAAAACAGAATCACTGAGTTAGAAAAAGGATCACCCCCTGTTAAAAATGACTTGTAAACTCAATCAGGTGTAGCTAATCACCTTTTGACTTTCAGCTGTGGTCATTTTGATCAGCTCAGCATAACAAGAGCTTTCCTGGATCATTTCAGTCCTTGGTAGTGCAACTGAAGCAAACAATCAACTATGGGTGGCAAGACACTGTCGAAAGATCTACGGGATAAAGTTGTGGACAGGCACAAGGCAGGAGATGGATACAATCAAAAAAATTATAATTCAAAGGCTTTATCAATGCCTAGAAGCACAGTGAAGTATATTATTAAGAAGTGGAAGGTATTTGGTAGAACACAGACCCTCCCTGGATCAGGACATCGCTCCAAACTGGATGAAAGAGCCAGGAGGAAACTGGCCAGAGAGGCGACCAAGAGGCCTGCAGCAACTCTGAAGCAGCTGCAGGAATTTATGACAAAGAATGGTCATTGTGTGCATGTGACAACAATATCACTAAGGCTGCATTTACACTGCAGATCTGGATGCCCAAATCTGATTTTTTTGACTATATCTGATTTTTTTGAAAACCTGCTTACACCTTCTTTTAAAAGTGACCCGTATCCGATATCTGCATTTACACTACACAGGCTTAACTTGACGTGGTTCAATGCATTAGACAGTGATATTAAAAGACCAAACTCTGCACACACTATTAATAAAGCATACTTTGTATTAAAAAAAACCAGATGAGATTTCACCCGAATGGAGTCTCCACAACAGTTAGCAATAGATTGAAGCGCTTGTCTGTGCACAAGCCGCCGTCACTGATAACAGCGGCAACGAGCCGAGCACTCAGCATGATTTTAAAAGCAACACATTTCAGTGCCAGATCGCCTCTTATTTAACACAAACGAACAAAATTAATACTCTGCTAGTCAACTAGAGATGTTTCATTTGTAATAGATATAGCTGTACAGCGAGATGTTTCATAAACATTTGACATCCAAGTCGCATTGACGGGAATATCCGATCCGATCTGTCCGCTTACATGGCAGACGCAAATTATTTATTTCCACATATGAATGAGGCCTGAAACCGATCTGAGTATATCGGAATCCATTAGATTTTTTCCTGCTTACACGGTTGTGGGCCATATCCGATCTGTGCCACATGGGAGGAAAAATCGGAATTGGGTCACTTGAACCATGCAGTGTAAATGCAGCCTATTTCTCCACAAATGTGGCTTGTATGGAAGGGTTGCAAGAAAAAAGCCACTCCTCAAGAAAGGCCACATGCAGTCACCACTGAGCTTTGCCAAAACACACCTTGAAGATTATGTGGCAGATGAGACTAAAATTGAACTGGACTGGAGCACTTGTCAGGATAGAAGGAAAAAAGGATGGGGCAAAATACCATCAAGTTCTTGAGGAAAATCTGCTGCCCTCTGCCAGAAAGTTGTCAATTGGAAGAAGGTTTACTTTCCAACATGACAATGACCCAAAGCATTTTTTTTAAAGGGGGGTGATTCTTTTCTATACCCAATGTACATCACTGGAAAACATTCTCATTGGATGAGCTCTGAAGAAAGAACAAGTTTTTTGTGTTTGATTTTTGTTTTTGTATGCAATTGGAATTGAACATCGTTTTGCATTCATGTGCTTTCTACCACAGAGGGTGGTGCTGTGGCTGGTGTTCGTCTCCACCTTCTGCTTCTGTTTGACATGGCAGTTCAATCAGTTTGTCCTACTGGTGCAGGCCCTTATAATCTTTACTCTGGATTGCCTGGACTTCTTCACAGTGGAACAGGTAACACTCAAAGACACATATTAGAGACTTTTCACCTTTTGAAGTTCATGTGTGGTGGGATATTCATTTCTTTCTCCCTGTAGGTGGTTTCTCTGTACCTGATGCAGGTGTTGAGTCTGTTATTGGTGTGGTTACTGCAGTTCTGCAATTCTATGATTCTGGGCTCTCTGGTGCTCAGCTTCATTGTGTCTGCCCTCTTCATCAAACACTTCCAGGTCAGTGTGCATCTCAGTACACAAGTAAAGATGAGTTAAGTTGGGAAAGTAAGAGTATAAATCCTATTTTTGTGATTCTAAGAACATACGTTGCATGAAATCCCGGATACCACATGTATTTATCTATTCAATATGTGTGTTTTCATCCTGGTCATGTGATTTTCAGCATGTGCCCATCTGCAGTATGTCACTATAAAGCGTTTTGTCAGATCTTAGAATGACATTAAGCAGATCTCCTTGTAACGTTTATGGTTTAGACTGTACTGAATATGTTAATATGCTCCTTAAAGATGATAATCACGTGTTTGTACATAAATATGATTAAAGTGAACACAATGCTTTCCAGATGAGCTGTACATATGCTTACTGGGATGTGAGCTCTAGTATTGCATTCTGAATTACCAAACAGAATGAAAAATAAATACATAAATAAAACAAATAAAAAAGAATCTAAAGGTGTATTTGGGCAGTTTAGTTTTATCAATTTTAACATTTCTGTGCAGTAGCTCATAGCATTTTTTGTTGAAAAGATGCAGCATGTAGGAGTTATAACTTTGCTTAATTTTTTTATTGAACTGGGTAAAAGATTTTAATTATTTCATATTGTTTTTTAATTGAATTTGTTACCCATGTAAAAGAAACAAAGACAGAAAACTGTGTTTTCAAATTGATTTATTTAAGTGGTGGGATGGAAAAATGACATGTATAGCAGTTATTTTCCAGAACCATATATAAAAAAAAACACACACACATTTATTATTATTATTATTATTATTTTAGTTTTTTTTGTTTTTGTTCAATTGCAGAATGTGACTGGATTGCTATTTTTTTATTTTTTTTTACAGGTTAACTAATGTAAATTCTCCAAATAATCCCATATGCTCATCTTTGATATTTCCTGTATAATGAATTAGCGCAACTAAATACATGATGTAATAGGTTACATGTGATGACGATGCCTAAAAACAGTAGATGCGCATCATTGCTTAGCTACGAACTGAAAGCAATTACTTTAAAGACATTTTGAAAACGCATCCCATCCGGATAGGGCTTTAGACTAAAAAATGTGTACATGAGGCACTTCATCACTTTTGTTTTCGTGTCTGAGCCTTATATGTGTTCCCTAACACCCAGTTCTGTTTTGATTGAAAACTGAGGCTAAGAATATTGTTGTAGTTTATTTATTAATACCTGTGTATGTGTGGTTTTCAGACGGGACTAAAGATGGGTGGCTTTGTTATACGAGTAGGAAAACTGGCTCTTCACACACTCCTAGTCCTCACATTAACTTTCACCATCAATTATTCAGCCAAGGTGAGCTATGAATCGTGTTCTACATCGTCTGCCCTGTCATTAATGGTAAAATAGAGCTTCTCTACCTGCTCCTCCTGAGACACTACAGTAGCTTTGCTTTCACTCTCATTATCTTTCTTCATATCTCACTCTCATGAAAACCCACATCGCCGATCTCATGAGACACTTACATGAATGATTTCATCCTTCACTCTCTCCATTTTAATTGACAGAAAATACTCCAGCTGAAATCGGACGAGCACATCTTTAAGTTCATAAAGGCCAAGTTTGGCCTCGGGGCAACGAGGTAAGTCTTTGGTCATCTCTCATGGCGTTACATCTAAGCCTTTTATCATCAGTCAAATGGCATATCGTGGTGTCTTATTCAGAAGTGAGATCTACTCGGAGACTAGAGTGAGCCATTAATCCGCTGTGATTAAATGCGTCCAGCTCTGGTGGAAAAGTAACATCTGGCACACAATATACTCTGCTCATCCACTAGATATTTATGAAGCCATTTCAGTTGATCAGATGAGTCGCTGCTCCCAATAATCTGTGTAATATATATCCAGCCCGTACTCCCTCCCTGTCTCTTTCTTTCAGAGACTTTGATGCCAGTCTCTATCTGTGCGAAGAGGCTTTTGGCTTGTTGCCATTGGATACATTTGAGCGGTTGGCTGGCACAGTGCTGCTCTATCCGTATCTGTGCACCCTCAGTGTGCTCTTCATCTTGCTGCTGCTCGTGGCACTCTCTAATCTCAGGTAAAACTACTGCATTACTTCCTGTCTGTAGGAAATGCACATGTGCGCAACGCATTAGCGAGACGTGTATCTGGGAATTTAAATATTCTCATAATGTTCATTTTTCTAATTAGAGCACAAAAATAGGCTGAAAATGACCAGTAGAGCAGTGATTATAGCTTAATAACCACCTTATCCACCACAGGTCATAATACTAATTTAAAATTAGAGTTATTAGTCTTTATTAGATGTGCTACATAATAATTGGACACTAGATGTATGTTTTTTTCCATTAGGGCTTTTGAATGTGTGTTATTATGTTCAGTTCAAAGCAGATTTGCGGTTGCTTTAAGGGCTGCTGTGACCCTATTTTTTGTTCTCTTTTCTTATCAGAATCACAGGAGCCCATAAACACCCAGAGGCTTTTCACCACACATGCACACACACACACACACACACACACACACACACACACACACCAATCAGAAAGGCTGTTAACTCTTCTGTACTTAAAAAATAAACAAATAAATAAAAAACCACACACGCTTGAACTCTGAATAATGCAGCTGATATTATGCTTTAATGTACAACAGTGTTCTTTCTTTTTTTCCCCTCTTGTTTGACTTCTAATTTTTCATTCCAGCACTAATGGGTCAGGCCAAGCATGCAGGGAGCGAGAAGACAGGACCTTTAGGATGCGTCCGGACGTTGCTTACAATATCTTGCACACCGTCTTCTTCGGCCTGCTCGCCTTTTCCACTATGAGGTAAACAACTTGTAAATTGGAAAGTTTTGTTGCTTTCATACCACGTATCTCTTT